AAAAAAAAAAGAGGTTGTATCATTCAACATCAGAAGTCTTACTCATCTTTTACTAGATACTTCAAAACCTATCCTGGGGCCCTCATTGGTGGCACAGTGGGGTAAAGCACAGAACTATGAAGCTATCCTCAGCCACTGCAGCACAAGTTCAATACCCAAGCAGAGAGCTACCCACATGGTATAGGCAGATGTCTGGGTAGCCAGCTGCTCCCCTCAGCAGTGTACTTCATGTATCTGCCTGTTTTGTTCCCCACTCTGTGGGGATCCTCTTAGCCCCCCTCACATCTGGCCTGTACCCCAGTTTTTGCATACATAAATAAATCTTGTAAGAAAAAAAAAAAAACCTAAGAATATGATCCAAAATGTAACCAACTGAAAATGTGGGATTTTATTTTGCGCATTTAAATTGTTCCAAGCAGGAAAAATATGAGTAAAATGACACAAAGATACTATAGAACATTATTTAAAACAATACATGTAATACACTAGGAAGTATATTAAATGTATTAACAAATACCAAAAGAAAATTTATACACAAAGAATAGTAGGAATAAATCTTGAACTCAGCAAAAGGAATAAAAGGGAAGGGGAGAAGTAATGGGGAAGGAAAGTAGATGGAGTATGGGCACAGGTGGTTGGTAGAAGGTGAAATAAAAAAAAATTAAAGATACTGCAAAACCCTTGCTTATTAATAGTCAAAAGCTTAATAGATGGTCTATAAATTTTTAAAAAGGTTTATTTATGCATACAGAACTGGGGTACAGGCCAGAGGTGGGGGAGGTGAGAGGATTCACCAGACAGTGGGGAGCAGAACAAGCAGAACTGAGGGGAGCAGTGGGTAGGTCAGGAGAGGTCACCTCCCTGGCTGGGGATCCAACTTGTATTGCAGTGGCTCTGGTAACTTCATAGTGCTGTGCTTTAACCAGTTGTGCCACTAGCGAGGGACCACCTATAAAATTTACTCTTAAAAATATATTGAACTTTGTGATTATAAGAACATTAATGAGTCCAGACTTATTTTGAATTCCATTGTTACTTCCTAACCAACTGACCACTGAGCCTCAATTCCTCATCTATAAAATAGAATAGTATGTATGTAATAAAATTGTTATGAGGATTAAATAAGGTGCTTACTCTGGTTGGCTAATATCAGGGTGAGGGGATGAGAGAATTCACCAGAAACAGTGGAGAACAGAAAAGGAGGATTTATTGATATAGACTGCTAGAAGCAACAGTGTGGGGACAAACGTATGTGTGGAAAGGATTTGGGGCTTCCTTTTATAACCTGTTTTTAAGGGCTTTTCATGACTACAAGAGTTGGTTTGGGCCAGTTGTTATCTTCTGGGATAGCAGGTTTCCATCGGCCTTCTACACAGTAGGTTTTCTGCGTGGTTCTGTTAATGCAGTTCCCATGACCTATGAGTCCAGACTTATTTTGAATTCCATTGTTACTTCCTAACCAACTGACCAGCTACTCATAGGTCATGTGGACCCTCGGCCAGGTTCCCATGGTACTCTATGGGTTCCCCTTCCTTATCTATTATGTGTCTCCCTCCCAGCATTGTTCACCAAAGTGAAGTGCAGAAACCAGGTTTTAATTTATTAAGTGATACACTGGCATCTACCACTTTGCATACGGTATTATGCAAAATGATTGCAGATTACACACTAAAAGATATAAATAAGTGTAGAGTGGCCCTCCCTGGTGGCTCAGCGGGTTAAAGCACAGCACTAAGAAGCTAAAGCCACTTCCACATGAGTTCGATCCCCGCCTGCCCCAGAGGAGATCCACATGGAGTGGTAGACCTCTCCTGACCCGACGCTGCTCCCCTCAGCAGTGTACTTCGTTGATCTGCCTGTTCTGCTCCCGACTCTGTCCCTGGTGAATCCTCTCACCCTCTGCATCTCTGGCTGTACCCCAGTTCTGTATGAATAAATAAATAAATCTAAATAAATAAAATTTTTAAAAAATAAGTGTAGAGTATGGTCAGGAACAGCAGCCTGTTGGTAGCTTTATTTTCTATTCTCTGAATTTCCAATAATGTATTTTCATCTAAGAGATATTTCGAAATATATTGGATTGATCCTCTGTGGGAAAATCTTTGCTGCCCTTTGTTGAAACTGACATTAGGGAGGTCTAAGGATGGAAGGATGCCAGTGTAAATGTTCCTTTATGCTGTGCTCTTACAGTATCCTGTGACTCTTCTTCAGTAGCTGTCATCATATTTCTTTTTCTTAAACATCTGTCTTCCTTCAGCAGACTATAAACAGGAATCATGGTTATCTGAGAGAAATGTAATTATTTGACACCATAAGAAGTAAATGAGATATCAACATTTTTTAAACTTACTTATTCTAGGTCAACTAGTTTTCAAGCCCATCTCTTTAACACAAGAATGAATTTAACCTAAACAAAGTGAGTATTTGAAATACAGTGCTAGCAACTGAAAGGAGGTATAAAAAGAAATTTGCATAGCTGATCTTCCTCTGTGTTAACAAGAGTTGTAGATCATAGCAACCTTGCCCCATATACCATACAGTACTAATCTCTGATCTACATGGGTCTTGTGGCTAGAGTCTTCTTAAGGTTGAACTTTTTAAAAAATGAATATATTGTAATAACCTGCATGTTTACAAATAAATTAGTTCCTAAAATGTGGCCAAAATACCAGAAAGCTAAATAGTGACCAATGTAGTTTATTGCTTAAAATGTCCCCTCATCTGACCAACAGAAATCCTATCCAACATTAAAATCTTCATCTAGTGCTATTTAATATATACAATGTAATGCTACTCTCTAAAATCACCCCTTACTATCAATAGCATTAAATTGTAGCTGTTTGCTCTCAGCAAGCATCTTATTGAATGCAAGACAGTATAGAAGCTATGAATACAAAGATAAACCTGCTCTCAAAAGACTGAGAATCTGGTAGGAATATTGAAATATACATACATAAAGTATGTAACTCTGACAGAGCTCTTAAATGTATATGACAAAATCCAGAGGACTTGATATAGGATAAACTCACAGAATCAATAAGAAAACCAGCAATCCAGGGACAGAAAATGGATAGGAACAGAGATGGGCAGCAAGGAACATAGATAAGGTTATGTTACAGAAAGTCTGTTACTTCTGCTACCACCTCTATGAGTAATTTTCAGTTCTGTGTCTACCTCACTCCCTCAAGATTCCATGTCCT